CCCATACCATCCCTTCCACTCTCCACCCTCCACCCCCTGGACCCCTTGCCCCACCAAAGATGTAAAGTTCATTTATTGACAAAACTTCTTGTACATCTCATTGTTGTAATGAGTCCAACTGTAACCCAATTTAAACAATTTGTTTTTTCCCTTCCCCTCCACAAATTATATCAACATCAAATACAGTGAAAGCAGGGAGGTGTAAGCATGGGGGAGGTGCATACAAAGCAACAAAGAAATCATCTTATAAATATGTTGGAAACAATCACAAGAAAGAAAAAAAAATTTCAATCCTTATCTTGGGGTTCATTTCACCTAACATCAACTTGTCTGACAGTCTTTGTTTGTCTTAGATATATACTAGTTATTGCAAATAAGGGAAACCATGGAACCTATATTTCTTTGGGCCTGGCTTACTTCAAATTAACTTTGATGGTTCTAAAAGAAAGACTAAGGAATGGATTATTCAGATTATAATATGATGTGAGAGCCAGGTGCTGGTGGTAAATCTAGCTACTTAAACATTATCTCAGGATAGTGTTTAAAAGCTATCCTCGGAAGGAATTCAGTGAGTGTCTTTCTCCAATTAATCACAAAAAATAATGAAGCAGAGCTGTGGCTCAAGTAGTAGAGGGATAGACTTGAACATAAAATTTAGAGACATAGGCCAGGCCCAGAGTTCAAGACCAGGACCAGCAAAAAGAAAAGAAAAGATAAGAAAAGTGAACAAAAGAGAAGATAAATGAAAAGGCAAGAAATATGAGACATGCACAGGTGAGATATCATGGTGAAAGCCCATCACGTATTTAAGATATACTAAATAAATGAATGAAAGGAAGATAAAATAGGTTCTATGGATTTCTGGGAAGAAAGGACAGAGGAGGGAGGAGAGGAAATGAAGGTGAATATGATTTAAGTGCTTTAATGTCATATGTAAAATAGAACCGTGAATCCTGTTGAAAGGTTTTAAGATGGGAAAAGTGGGAATAATGAATAGGGATCAACGCCATGAAGTTGATGATTTACATTGTATGCATGAGTGAAAAAGTCACAATGAAACACTTTTTGTGCAACTTATATATGCTGAAAAACAAGCAAATTCATTCTTATTTTCTAGCAGTACAAAAGCAAAGGTCAAAAACTGTATATGTTGCTATTTTCTACAGAAAAATGTCACTTTGTCTTTATGCTGTCAAAAATATCTCAGTTCAAAGTCACGGAAATTCTCTTACCCAGACATGTAATTTCTTTAATGGATGTGATATCCAAATTCATCAGTGAATAGCACTTGATAGCTCATTTCTTTTCTCTTATTAGTTTAGCTCAAGCTAACTTTGTATCCCACACAGTAGTGACTCCTTGGGTCCTGACACCTGCACAGGCCAATCCCAAACATCTGGATGTCCTCTTGTGTCACTCCATCTCAGCACCTTCAATGGAGTCAACAATGCTATTTCTCCCTTGCATGGACAATCAGCTCTCCTCACTCTTGCTTCCAAGCCCCTTGTAGCTTCCTCCCCATATGGATGACATTTCTGGGTGCTAATGGTTCCAAAAATCTGTTCAAAGATGCCAACATCATCTTCCTTTCTGATGTTCTACTCACTCTGCTTGGACCCAATATCTTTAGCAGAGGTGATGAGCACAGTATTGTCTCAGTAACTAGGACACCATGGAGTGTAGAAGACAGATGCAGGTTTGCACAACACAATAGATTCTAGGATAACCTGAGTTTATCCTCCTTATCAGGAATAATCTGCTTCTGAACACAGTAGCTATGGTGAAGATGTTTAAAACCCAGAAGGCACTTAAGCACAAGCTTTTGAAATTATACACAAGGTTAGGTTGGTAGAAAAGATTATTCATGTATGAAGGGAGTCAATCTCTGAAAAGACTTGCTTTTATGAAATGATCAACACAAAAAATCTTCAGAGAAGAAGGAGGAACAAGGTAGAATTGTACATTACACAATGTCCAGGCATTTTCTTATCAATGAGGTCTACTTTCTTATTTCACCATTATGGATTGCTTTATAGGACAGCAGTGCTGATATGTTGCCATATAAAGGTTATCAGTGAACAAAAGCAATTCCAAAATGTTCTGTTCTGGATAATAAAGACATATGTCAAAAATGTCTGTAAAGGAAGTGGCGTTGTAGCTCAAGTGGTAGAGCGCTCGCCTTGAGCTGAAGAGCTGAGGGACAGCACCCAGGCCCAGAGTTCAAGCCCCACTACCGACCAAAAAAAAAAAAAAAGTCTGTAAATTTCTGGAACTAACACTCCAGTGGACAGGTCTCGTCTCAGTTAAAAGAAATCAAAAGAAACACAGCTTTGAAACAAAGGGACCATTGGTATGATGAAGAACATTTTATATATATAAAAAAAATTTTCCTTTTCTAAAACTTTTATTAATCTTTAATTTTTGCCTCTTTTGAAAAAATAATTGTTTTCCAGTAACTTTTTTTTCCTCTTATAATTTTTATTTTAGGAATACGTAACTGGTTATTTTTTTTACAGATATAGCTCACTATGTCATTATGTTTTCAAAAAGATCTCAGTTTGAAGTCACTGATGTTCTCTTAACCAGACATGTGAATTCAAACTTTAATCTTAGTCACTGTACATACCATGCTTATGAACTTGTGAAGAGATGGCAGTAGATGAATGATCTCAAGACACAAAAATTCCAAATAAAAGAATACTTTAATGGTCATGATGGCCATAGTGGTTCACAGCTATAATTCAACCTCTAGGAAAGCAGAGAACAGTAGGAATGTGGTTCCAGTTGAGTCAGAACAAATTAGTCAGACCACATCCCCAATAATCAACCCACCAAGGAACAGGTTTTTAGTTTGGTCTTAAATTTTGTGGTCTTATCACTCATGGTGATCACATACCAGATTAGATTAGATTTGTGCCTTTTCCCCCTCAGTGTTCTGTCATTAATGGATATTTGTGAGCAAAGTCCTGAAATGCTGCTAATTCTGTAAGGACATCATTACTGATGATCTTTATTTCAATTCTAGATTAAGGTGTTGGCTATTGGATTTCTCAGCTATATAGTTGTTCTTTTTCCTTTGAAATTGTGAAGATTTATGGAGAAATATATGGTGGTTTATGGATATCACATCCCTAGTGAAAACATCACTACTAATCCAAGGACTTACAATTTATTTCATGGAATACTTTGGTATTTATTCAATATTCAAAAATTCACAAAATTGGCCAGTGGGCATTACTTGTTAGCTGATTTCTCTCCACTCTTCCTTTACATCATCCACTATGAATTTGTAGTTTGTGACAACAAATGATCCAAACTCATCTTCTTCTCTTCCTGCTTTTCATAAAGAAATAAACTGTTCTTCAAGGGTCACTGGCTTTATTTATGAGAGAAGAAATGAGGTCAATTAATGAAGGTGCTATCCATTATTAAAGCTAAAGCATCATTACTTCTAGATTAGAAAAAAATATCCACTTGTGCATCTATTCATCTATATGTATATATATTTATATGTACACATATATATATACATAAGTATACATGCATATACATGTTTGTTTATGGTAATTACTTCACTCACATCACAAAATTAGGTTATTATTAAATGAATTATTGGAAAAATTTTCTGATTTTCTTCTTTCCACAAAATAATCAGTATAAAATCTTTGAAATATGTCACTAACAATAGATAAAATTTTCATTTAATTAGCTTACAGTTTTTAACTCAAGAGTATGAATATTGGCTCTAATTTTCCCTCATTAATTTAGTCATATCATCAACAACTCTTCTGGGTAATATGAAACTCTTAGTGTTACTGTCACTTACATTATTATATAATACACCCCCTGTCTCCACCCTCAGATTTGTTCAGACATTCCTCAGAATGTGATAACATGGATAAGATGAGCTAACTTTGTATCCCATGCAACAGTGACTTCCTGAGCCCTGACAACTGTACAGGCAAATCCAACACATATGGATGTCCTCTTGGGTCACTCCATCTCAGCATCTACAATGGAGTCAACAATGCTATTTCTCCCTTGCAGAGAAAATCAGCTCTCCCATGTTGCCTCCTCCCAATATGGATGACATTTCCATGTTCTATTGATTTCAAGACTCCGTTCAGAGATTACAACATACTCACCCTGCTTTGGCCCAATATCTTTACCAAGGTGTGCAGCACAGTGTTCTCTCAGGAACTAGAAGAGTCCACTGAACAGAGGAGACATATGTAGGTTTAGGCCACAAAATAGGCTTCAAGATAACCTGAGTTTATCCTAGCTTTCAAGATAATCTATCTCTGCTTCTGAACATAGTAGTTGTGGTGAAGATGATTAAAAGCCAGAAGGAATAATATGAGAACCTTCAGCATGGATATATAAAATGATACACAATTCTAGGTCAGTAAAAATTATAAAGGCTGTTCAGATATATAGGGAGAAAGGTTGTGAAAGGTCATGCTTGTATTGATCACCTGGGACAAAAACTCAGAGATGGAGGAGATAATAAGCCTGAACAGCACAGTACAGAAGTCCAGGCATTTTCTTAACAACACAACAACTACAGTTATTCCACCTCCATGGATTGAATTCATTACAGGACAGCAGTGCTGATAAGTTGACACATATAGATTATCAGTGAATCAGAGCTACTGTAAAACTTTCTGTCCAGCATAATAATAAAGAAATGCTAAATTTGTGTTGTGCAAAATTTGTTTGTGAACTCCTGGATCTAATAGTCCAGTGAACAAGTCTTGACTCAGTTAAAGAAATAAGAAGAAAAGAAGCTTTGATCCTCAAAGCTACCATTGTTGTGAGCACATCACAGGAAAGCAACTTGGAGATTCTCTTCTGTGTTTAAAACTTATTCTGTTGCCCGACCTAGTTCCCTTGAGACTCAGAATGTGCAGAGTTTCTGAGATGAGGCAGCTGCACAGCTGTGTATAACTCTGCTGCTGATTTGCATGCACCAACAGCACAGCCCAGTGTGCTCAGGACTTCTTCATAGGCTGCTCACATTAGGCAGTAGTCAGTCCAAGTCAGCACACAGCATGGACATGAGGACCCCTGCTCAGCTCCTGGGGATCCTGCTGCTCTGGCTCCCAGGTAAAGAAGGACAATGCTAGGGATTAACACAGCTCAGTGTGATCCAGGATGCTTACTCTTCAGGGATGCCTCCTTATAACTTGATAATTAATGTGGATATTTATTTTCATGTTTCTGCTTCCAGGTGTCAAGTGTGACATCCAGATGACCCAGTCTCCATCTTCACTGTCTGTGTCTCTAGGAGACACTGCCACCATCACCTGCAGGGCCAGTGAGGACATTGGGTATGTTTTAGCCTGGTACCAGCAGCAACCAGGAAAAGCTCCTAAACCCTTGATCTTTGATGCAGATAGTTTGGCGACCGGAGTTCCATCAAGGTTTAGTGGGAGTGGGAGTCAATCTGGGACAGAGTTCACTCTCAGGATCAGTGGCCTGGAACCTGAAGATGTTGCCACTTATTACTGTCAACAGTATAGCAGTTTGTCTCCCACAGTGATACAAAGCATAACAAAAACCTCCCAGGGAAGCTGAAGTGTGAGTCTGGGCTGCCCCAGCTGCTCCTCCTGCTGCCTCCACCTGCTCAGAATGTTGTCAGAAAAAGCCAGTTAATACTTCGAGAGTCTGAATTGTGGCATCAGTTGATATTTATGCAATAATAAAATAAATAACGGTAATTTAAGCAGGAATTGCTTCTAATACAAAGAATGGATTCATTGCTTCAGATTTTATTCCTTTATTTTATGATAGCCTATTTTTTACTAATGTACATATCTGTAAATATTAATGGGATTCTGGGTTTCTCAGTGTATGTGTATTATGTGCGTTGATCATAGTCTTCCATCTTTCTTCTGTGTTCAACCTCCTGCGCTCTGATCCTTTGCCCTTGTCAGCCCCATAGTATCACTATTGCATTTTATTTTTTTGAAGTCTGCTTGAGTGAGAAGCAGTATAGATGATGCTCTATGTTTTTAGTACTTTGTTTAACAAGGTGTTTTCTACTTCTATCCATCATGCTGCAGACTATAGGATTTCTTGATTCTTTATGCATATTGTGTATACATATATGTGTGTGTGTGTGTGTGTGTGTGTGTGTGTGTGTGTGTGTGTGTGTGTATGTATTTCATGGGGCTTGAATTCTGGACACTGGATACTGGAAACTGTCCCTGAAATATTCATGTCAAGGCTACCACTCACCACTTGAGCCACAGTGCCACTTCTGGTTTTCTGGTGGTTAATTGGAGATAAGACTCTCATGGACTTTTCTGCTTCAGCTGGCTTTGAATTGCGACCCTCAGATTTAAGCCTCCTGAGTAGCTAGGATTACAAGACTGAGTCACTGGTGCCCAGCTGTTTCATTTTAAAAGGCAATGTTTTGTATTGATTTTTCCACTCAAGTGTCTTGTGTTTTAGTTAATCCAGACACCCATGTAATTCAACAATATTGAGATTTTTTAGGGCACAAATTTAATTGTCTGGGAGCTCTGTTTTTGAAGTTAGGCTCCTTCAATTCTTCTGCTTGATTTAGCAATAGTTAGTCCTGATCTTGTACTGATCGTCAGCAGATCACTTCGACCCTTCATCTCACATTTCTCCACACAAATCACAAAACAACTCTTGTGTGGACTGTCTGTTCACATATTCAGAATCCATCCACCTTCCTAAAAGCAGCAGGGTTGGACCCCTGTGGATCTGGGGAATGGATAACCTGTCATGGAATGATGGTCAAGAGGATAGATCTGAGGAAGAGAGCCACAGAGCCTATAAAATTTAAGCATTGAATTTTAGTTTAAAACTTTTGTGGTCATGAGGGTAATATAAATTGAAAAAGATGATTCCGTTTTAATTACATCTTTATTATCTTTAACTAGTAAGATAAGAAATTACCATTCAACAAGTCAGATTTGAGTAAAATAATATCATTCTCTCCTGTCCCTCCAAGGAAAGTTGATTCTTTTTCAAAATTCAATTTTATTGTCAAGATTAGGTACAATGAGGATACAGTTACATATGTAAGGTAGTGAGTACATTTCTTGTTGAATATTGTTACACTCTCCCCCAATTTCCTCCCACTTTCCCTCCCTCATCACACCCCACCAAGTTGAAAGGTTCATTTCCAACATATTGTTTTGTGAGTATCACTGTTGCATTATCTCTTTTTATTTCTTTTATTTATTTATTTTTATTGTGAGAATACTGTACAAAGGAGTTACAATTACATGTTCTAGATAACGAGTGCATTTCTTATCGAGCATTGTTGCCTCCTCTTTGTTTCCCCTTCCCATCCCTTCCCATACTCCCTGCTCTCCCCCCCCCCCACCCGATTCTCAACCACCCCCCACCAAAGTTGTAAAGTTCGTTTTTCCACAAAACGACTTGTACATCTCATTTTTTTTTCTATTTTCACTTATGGTTTATACCTTGTTGGCTCTATTTTATTTTGGTACCCTGTGTACTATATATACATTTATCTGAATTAAGGAAGGAAAAGGGAACAACGAAATGATGAGACAAAGGACAAAATTGATGCTTGAATTGTCCTTTCTGTCAGAATGTCTGAAGGAGAGCTATGCCAGAGATTTAATTTCTGGTTATCAAAGGAAGATATCAAAGTGGCAACGTATACTTACTGGGTTGTCAAAATGGGACTGTGTGGCATGAAGCTCTGATTATTGTTGTTACATTCTGAGGGCCTAATTGAAATAGAAGATGGAAACTTGAACCAAGACACTGCTCTTTATATAGTGTCCTTTTTGATCCATCAGTTCGGTGCTTTCTTTTGTTCTTAGATTCCTGGGAGCACTTTTTATCTCTGCCCTCACTCTCTTCCTCTCTGTGTCTCTGAACTCAGAATAATAACCCAGGTGATGTGATGCTGATTTTTGTCCTACATAGAGATGGTAAAGGGAAACAAAGGAGGAGACAATAAGAAATATACTCATTACCTTGTTCATGTAATTGCAACCCCTCTATATTTTTACAATTGTATTTTTACAATTTTTACAATTGTGTTTTTACAATTAAAAAAAGAAAAAAGAGAAGAAAAAAGAGAGAGAACTGGAAACAGCACATGTCTTGAAGCTCATTTTGATAAGCATCATTTATATGGTCATATGCACACAGCTATTGAACCCTTGTGTTCTGTTCCTAAGAACATACTCCTTTGTTTTCATTGTGTGAATATTTAGACTATTGTTAAATTATGTCTATATGTAATGATTTGTCTTTTAGTATCCATTGTGTTTACTTGTAGATTTATAGGCACATCCTATATTACTAGGTGTCAGGCTTGCTTTAATTAGTACAACTTTTTCCAAGGCTATTGTTGCTAATTATAATTTTTATCCAATGTATCTTATCATTGGAGGCAAATAAGAACAATTTTCCGGGTCTTCAAATCTGAAGTGAAACAAGAATACGGGGGATACTAATTCTTCCACCTGTACAGTCAGATGGTACAAAGGAGCAAACAGGGAATTTTCCCTCAGCCAATCAGCTTTTCTTTCCTCAGCCAAACTCATGCTTTCTCTCATTCACATTGATCAACATTCTGTGGAAAAGTAGCAAAGAACTGGGCTCTCTCAGTTAGGTCTGTCCTCTATGCTTTCTTCACATTCCTGGATTCTGTGTTTATTCATCATTTGATGGGTTAACAATGGGGTGGAGTTACTGGGAGGTGGTAAAAGCACCTAGTTGGAGGAAATACATTTGTGGGACTGTCCTTGGGCCTAAATCTTGCCCTTACCTCTTCCTATATAATTTTGAATTCGTGTTTGCCATGAGTTGAGTAGCCTCTACTATATGGTCCAACATCATGATGTTCTGCCTCTCCATAGGCCAAGGAAGCTAAGGATGGTGAACTGAAATCTCTGACACAATGAGCCCAAATGAATACTGTCTTTCTTCCCTTAGGTTGTTCCTGTCAGGTACTTGGGTTCAGACATACAAATATTAGGAATTCACCTATATATTCTGACTAGCAATCTCTACTTTAATCAGGTAACAAGGATCCATACAAAGCTTCAGAAACTAGGCTTTAGCACATGCTTATTTTGGCTAAGAAGATCTTGGAAAAAATTATTTAGATACGCACAACTCCTTATCAATACCATGATCTCAGGCCTCAAAATAATAATAGTTTTAGAAACTTGAGTATATATGAAGATTAAACAATTACTAAGCATTTTGCATAAAAGTCACAGAAGGAAATAAGTAGACTGCAGTTGAAGCTAGACTGGCAAATCATTATCACAAAGCAATCTGAAAGGAATCTAGGCATTGTGCTATACCCCCTTATACTTATGGCTACAAGGGAGGTACAGATAGAACATGGTCTTACCTCTATCTGATAGACAAAACTAAACCAGAAAGGCTAGGTGTATGGCTCATGGAGTGTGGGAGGTTGGGGAGGGAAGGGATTGTAGGACAACCACAAGGGAATGGGTAACAATGATGGACAAGTAATGTACTCATCACCTTATTCATAACTGTACCTCTGTATAGCATCTTTAAAATAAAATGAAATAAAATTGAAATAAAACAATTGCTTAGCAAGCTCAAGGCTTTGGACTACAAGACCTTTTCAAATGTGTTTCTGTGTTGGGCATTTTGTGACCTGAATTTCTCTATGTACCTTGATCTCTAGATGTTGCTTATGACTTTAAAAGTAACTCTTTGGCCACTGAGGAAGATCAAACAAAATCCATGTCAGAGGCAAGCTGAGTGACCTGCAATACAAGAGCTCCAGTCAGATCAACAGTCATTAAGAGTGTGAATACTCTTGAGCCGGTGGCTCATGCCTGTAAATCTTAGCTACTCAGAAGGCTGACGTCTGAGGATGTCAGCAGGAAAGTCCATGAGACTCTTACCTCCAATTATCACTGAAAAAACAGAAGTGGACATGTGGCTTAAAGTGGAGAGTGCTAGTCCTGAGTTCAAGCTCCATGAGTGACCAAAAAAAGTATGAATTGCTGATGAATATAAGTAATTGGGTTATATGCCAAAAATTTTTAGAGTGGTTCATTGCACACTATTTTCGTTAAAAATCAATTGCTTCACTTTAGATATTTACAAAACAATCAGAAACAGGAGAAATAAAAAAATCTACAAAATATATGAATGAATAGAATACATTTTAGTTCATTTATGGTAACATCCAAGGTATAGTTAGTACTTTTACCAATATTACAGAATTATATAATGTAATATAGAGTAATGTATAGTAATATATAAATGAGCGATAAAATGTGACTTTATATGTACAGTAAAGACTTTTCAAATATCATTAAGTTTACAGTTAAAAAATGAGTGTCATATATCCCTATGGACTATAGGTTTTAAAATATGCATCTAGATTTATTTATTGCTGCATACATACATA